TTATTATTTAAAATTTTTAAAAGACCATATCTAATACAATTAACTCCTTAAAAGTTTAAACTCAATTTAGCCTAGACATAACTTTAAATCAAAGCAAATTAAATTTGGGTTTTGTAAAACTCAAACTCAGTTGGGCTCAGCTTGCTAATTGACCCAGGGCAATCAAAATTTAAGGAGTCAAACATAAATTCAAGATTTACTTGGATGGGCTCGGCTGCAAACCAAATCAATTGTTATGTAACAAGGCATGATAATTTGCATGTGTAGGTGGAAATTCTTCTGTTGATTCAAGTATAAAAATCCATATTTTAAACTTATGGTTACTAGGTAGAATTAGATTGGTGCATATTTAACTTAATCCTCTATTTGTAATTAAAAAATAATGACCTAATATATTGTAAATGCATATTCCTAATGTTACAAAAATATAAGAAATTAGCAGTGAAAAATTCTATTATTATAGCCTGTCACCGATATCTTGCAGAAGAGATCAAAGATGGATTGGCAATGGTATTAGCGATGGATCATATATGTCACTAATACTTCGCTATATAACATATGCAATTAGTAAGAAAATTTCTTACTCCCTAATCTATCGCTAAATTCCATAAAATTTAGTGATGGACTTCTTCTGTCATTATTCTCTTACTAATTTTTATAAAATCAAGGGAATTAGCGTGGAAATCTTTTGCTTGCTAATCCATCACTAGGCCAAACATGATTTGTGAGGGACGTTTTCTTTTGCTAATTTTAACTTTCTAGCAATGGTTTTTTTTCATAAATAATCTGCCACTAATTTGTGATGGATTAACTACTGATATTTTTGTCACTAATTTCTGTCAGTCATTTAGTTTTCTTATGGTAGTATAAAAACCTTGGGCTTCATCAGGTTTTCTTTGGTAGAAGCTCAGCCTCAAATTATACACCATAAATTAGTCTTTCTGTTATTTGTTTATTTATTTGTTTTAGAACCATATATAAGTAGTCTTGACTGACCGGATTTGAGTATTTAGATCTGACCCACCTAACCTTTATATTTAATTTTTCTTCTAGTTAAATATAACACCTTAAGAATAAATTTATGCACTGGTACCCAAGATAATGTGGGTCAAATTTTGAACAATCCTCAAGAGAAAGCACCTATATGTTCTCTTGCCATTTGTTTGAATCTAGAACGGAGATTTGTTGGGTCAAATTTTGAACGGAGCTAAGCAACATGATTATGACATTACAACTTGCTAAATAATTTTCCATTAATTAATTACCCTCGCACGTCCGACTGGTCCATTTAGTATAAATAATGAGATCTATTTGAATCCTAATTTGAATTTCAACAAGTCGTAGAGACTAAAAATAAGTTGATTCATCTGGTTGGAGCATATATGCATTCTTTATTTGATGTTGAATATATATTATAGCTATGTTATATGAGTGAAAGTTCTGTTTGGTGCTAATAATGTTGATTTCGAGCATATATTAAATAATTAAGTTATATTATCTCATCTGAAAGCTCACCATTGTTAGGTTTCAAACAATTTTAAGTGTTTGTCACTAAATTCAAACTCGCCTCAATTTTGTATTCAAGTTTAGAAGTTTATTTAAAATAAGCTTGAACTTCCTAAAATATAAACAAAATATATTTAACTCAATACATTAGAAGTTGTTTTTGTCACGATGATATCTAGCTATATATATTTACTCATAATTAATATTCGATACAACATTACTTATATATAAAGGATTAAATAAACTTATAGAAAAGTTTACTTTTATAGTTTAAATGTAGGTTTAATAACAATCTCTTAAATGAATAAATCATGAGTTTTTTTATTTTAAATAAGTTTAAATTAGCTCAATTTTCCTTTTTCTAATAGTTAAAATTTAAAATTAGAATGTTTATTTATTTATTTAACGAGCCAACTTTTAAACAAATTCTTACCCAACTAAGCCTATATTTACTTGATAATTAATAGCTTAAATCATTTAATGTACCTCAATTAAAGTCATAGTTTAGTGAGATTTTGCTTGAAAAGAGGATAAGTGAATTATTTCTTAGCTATGTCATCTCCATCGTACAAATTAGAAACTTTAAATAAGGAAATAACGAAATTTAAACACATCTAATTTAATATCATATTAAATTGTTAACTATCGTCTTACATAAAAATTTAATTTATAAAAAATAATTAATTTAATCATTTATTAGTGACACATAATGATTATTTGATTATATTGGCCCAATGAAAAGGGGGAAGAAAGGAATAGAAGACTGATCTTTCTTGTAATAGGAGAGTATCTTTTAGAACCATGGATGTATGCAATAAGAAATGCAAGTGTGCAAAATAAAACTAATTAATCAAATTAAACTAAATTTTAAAATTTGATTTGATTTTTTTTAAATATGATTTGATTTTATTTAATCTAAAAAATAATCTAAATCTATGGTAGGACTTGATTTGATCAAAAGTCCATACCAAACTATTCTGAACCATGAACCAAAATATTGAAAATATTTCTTCTTCACAAATTTCGCTCCTACGAAAATCCTAAAAATTTCATAACTTTTATTCAAACATGAAATATAATTATACGTATGTATGAATATTATGTATATATAGACTTATATGTGTGTATATACATGTTGATAAAAATACATACATACATTTATGTATATGCATATGTATATGTTCATATATATACATATATGGCAATAAAAAATTAAATAAATGACTATTTAAATAATTATAATTAAACTTAATCAAACCAAACTAAACTAAAATTTTAAGTTTAATTTGATTTAATTTGTTATTAAATTAGTTTAATTAATTTTTAAAATATTTAAACAAAAAAAAAGTTAAATATCAAAACTAAACCAAAATTTTACTTTCCACACCTCTAGTAGGAAGCAAGGGAGAAGAGCTTGGAACAAGCCAATGGAGGGTGGAGTTTTAAATTTTTTTCTGAGGGGTGTTTGTTTAATTACTAGATATTGTCATGTGTTGCTGCCACGTTACGAAAGGGTGAAGTTTTAGTTAATAATACGCAATAACTCCCTAGAAAGTAATATATTATTAAGGTTAAACATTAAAATATGAAAGGCCCAGTTGGAATTTCGTAAATTGGAGGCTCAGTTTGTGATTCATAATAAATATGGGGGAAAGAAAAATGAACTTTTTGCGGCGAGTTATTATTTAGTTAACGTTGACCGTCAGCATTGAAGATCTGACGTTTAATGGCACGTCTGAAAGATTGATCGACGAAGAGAAGTAGCTTTTGTAGCTCCCGTGAATTTGAACGGAAGGTTCTTCATATCCCGTTACATTCATGCAGTGTTGTTTTCATCATTTATGGCATATCCGTCCATTAGGGGTATAATTGTGAGTTTCTAGTTATGTTTCCGTTTATTCTTACATGCAAATATAAAACGGAGGGCCAAAAAAGAAAAAAGAAATAAAATATGTAACTTATTAATTTATTTCAACTCCACGAATTTTATATTCCAAGTAGAACAGATTTATGAAATCTTCTGTTTCCGGAATGAGCAGCCAGGGTAAATAATAAATTTTGCCTTGTGCTTTTAATTTCAAATAAAAACAAAAGAAAACAAAGATTTTTGGCTTTTTATTCAATGAGTTGCTTAGACTAGTATTTATGATTCAAAGAGTGTTTGACTGTACTTAATTAACATTTAAAACAACTCTTGGTAAATAAGTATTTCTTAACTTTTTTTGTTATTATTTTTATTTCATCACATTAATATAAGCATTATACTTTCAAATTATTTTCTAAATTTAAACAAATTTGTAATATTTTATTCCATATCAATTTTTAAATAAAATATTATTTTATATATATAATTTTTTAAATTATTACTAAATAATTTTAGCCAAATATTTTATACCAATGGCTCGGACTTAATAACTTGTTACCTCAAAGAGAGAGAGAGAGAGATATGGATCTTAGTTAAAAAAGTAATTTACTGAGAAATAGAATAAACCAAGAGGGGGAAAAAATGAAGCATTGAAAGTTTTTTTTTTTTTTTTTTTTTTTTTGAGGTTTATGTTCCAGGGTGCATTGGGGTTTTGTGCTACCCACACGGTGTTGTACTTTAACATATTTATTTTTTATAATTAATGTATTCATTTAATTTTGAAAACAAAATTAAAAAAAGAAAAAAGCAAGAGAGAGAAAGACAACTCTGCGGACTTAATGAGAAGCCATCAAAGGTACCCTGCTATATGGCAGTCTACTAGATAATTTTCCTGAAGCAAGGCCTAGCTACAATTTATACATTGGATTAAGAGTATGCTTAACTTAATGCTGAAGGAAATCATATCGGGAGAAAAATATCAATCAAATTCTGCAAAAATGTTATTGCAACCAAAAATACTGTCTACTGAGCATAATTCACCCAGAAAATTGATCATATACAATTTTAAAAATTTACATTTATTTTTTTTTACTTTCCTTTCCATCTCCCCACAGTGAAGTTTTGCTTCTCCTATTTGTTTCTATGTTTAACTTTAAAGACTGATCTAATCAGCTAGTAATTCTAATATCAACTAAATTAGTATCAAATTCTGATATTGATTCAATAAATATTAAGATTTTATCTAATATCAAATAAATCATATTATTAGATTTAACAAATAGAGTGATTTATTTTGAAATTTCATTGAAATCTTTTAAACCAAAGAAAGAAAAAAAGAAAGATGTTAGTCCTCAAGGAAATGGTATTAGTGGACTCGATCAAGTTATGCCAAAATGTTTGTGAATGAACATTATTTCTAGGCAAATTGCGACCAAAATTAATTATCCGGGATGTAGATGAACCAGACCAAAACAAAGGATGGTGAGGAGATTACACCATCCTACAACCGGTTCCTTGGTTTTCAAAAATTTAATCATAATTACAGAAATTTGAACTTAGAAAAAAAGAAAAAGATTTTCATCCAACTGTGAATTATTTAATATTTATGTGTATGCTTGTGTGCAAATAGCTAGCGGTGAAAATATATTCTAGAGCACCTGCTCAAGAGAGTACTCACTTCAACACAAGGTGATTTCTTCCACACATTAGAATGAGTTCTAAGCACCTCCTTCGCCTTCTCCTTGAGATAAGCTGCACATTCAACCTGAAGCACCATGCAAAGCTTGGTAACAGTCCCAACCCTCAGCATCTCCTGAATCACCGCTGGGTTGCTGGTATACTTGCATATCAAGGCAATGATCAGCAAGGCCCGGTCATCGGCCGCCGGTGAAACCCTCAGGAGCCGCTTTGTCACAACCGCTATGCCAGCAGCGTGGCCCACTAGCTGCGCCCTCCCGTCAGCGCAGGAGCAAAGGTGGAACAATATTCCCAGGATAAGCTCCGTCGTCCTTTTCTCGGGGGACTCAAGTTCGAGCTCAACCATCACCGTTACTGCCCCGGCTTCTACCATCATCAACCGGTTCCTTCCCCAGGGACACGTGTCCAGCATCACGTGCAGCGCGGCGTTGATTCCTTGATGTGATACTCTCTTTTGTGTTATCACTCCGACGATCTTTTCAAAAAATTCCAATTTTAGCCTCTCCAGAGAACTAGAACTCGCCTTCGAAATAATCGTTTTGAGCACTAAAAGCGCATGACTTTTGGCTTGGCTGTCAATTTCCTGGCCTAAAACCCAGACCAACGTGTCGATGATATGGTCGTTCTGAATTACAAGCCGTTTCGCCTCGTTTGATGAGCTTCGTAGGTAGGAGAGAACGCTCAGAGCTTCTTCGAGCCCACTGGTTTCCGCTCTCTTGTGGCATGTCGCGATGAATTGTGACATGGCCTCGATCAGCCCAGCCTCGATTAAAAACTTTCTGTTGCGCTCGTGCTCCAGAACTAGTAGTTCGAGCTTCCTAAGGGTGGCAAGCTGGAGCATGGGAAGGGAGAGGTCGCGGAGGAGGTTGCGGACATGGACTTTCTCAAGAGGGGGTTTCGGGGTGGGAATCCTATCGATCCCGTGAACCGCGTTCTGGGTGCACCAGGACTGGATCAGACGGCGAAGGGTGTGATTGGGGGTGAGGAGGGAGTCCGGGGGGAGGGGCTGGTTGGAGACGGGACACGTGGTGTTGTGGGATATGAACAGCCATTGCTCGATGCTCTCCCGGTCGTACGTGATCCCAGTCACCGCCGTCACTGGATCCTTCATGATCTGGAGGGAAATGGGGCATATGAAAAAATGGGGAATTTCAATTTCATCCATGGAATTGGAACCCAAGAACAAACCTGAAAAATTTGAGAATTGCAAAGTAATATGTAGTATAATTAGTGAGAGAAATGAAAGAACGGCGTGAGGATAAAGATAGATGATAAAGAGATGTGGGTGTCCAGGAATAAGCGTGGAAGGGAGAAGCAAAACTGCTGGTTGTCACTGGTAAGAGTTTGCGGCTCCTTTATTGACGTATTGGAGGAGAGGAAGAGCGAGAAAAAGGAGGAGGAGGAGGAGGAAGAAGGGAGGGAATTGTAAGGGAAATGGAGGATTGGACTATTACCAGTCAGCAATTCACTTGTGGAGCGCAATTGGCTGGTCAAAGACAGAAAGCTTTGGCATGGCTACGTCCAGTATACGTCTCTCTCTCATACTAATTTCCAATGCCCTTTATTTATTTTGCTTTTGTCTTTCTCGTGACCCCGAAAATTAATGCATGAAACAGACAATTTTTCTAAGACGATTATGGTAACATTTTTTTCTCCTTTGGGTCCTTTATGAGGCGAAAGTCTATATATATATATATATATATATTGTGTAGAGTGCCAATTCTAATATTAATTATAGTAAATCATGCTAAAACTTTTTTTTTTTTTTCTTGAGTGTGTATATATATATTTCGAATTCCGTTCAGAATATTATCTACGTAGTACAAGCTCTATTTTATTTAATATTTAATGCAGAACATGGATTTTAGTAATAATTGTGGTAAACCCGCTTAAACTTTTTTTTTTTTTTACTTTGTTTTTGGGCATCTATTTTAAGACATTTTAAATTTTATCTTTTTCAAAATTAAAAAATCCGAGGGATAAAACTAAAAAATTTAACTACCAGACAAATCCTAAGAAAGTAATTTTATTCTTACCATAGAAAACGTCCGAAATAAAAATAAAGTTGCCTAAAAGAAGTTAATTGTGTCAAAAAAAGAAATTCACTTATCAAATATTTTGACAGTCACAGCGGCAGCTTTAAAATTGCAGTGGATGGCACGCTGGAGATTTTATTAACATCCAGGCATCTAAGACATAGATATAGGTAAGGCAGCTAGGGAGGATCCCCTCTAGTACTGCAGTTCAAATTCACTGAGCTTTCACTTTCGACGTCAACCATCAGTTGCGGGCATGTTCTGACATGTATTTTAAATATAGTTCTCTGATTTTGAAAACGGAAAATTTGTTTTGTTGTTCTGGGTAACCATTATATAGGGAGAACAGGACAAAATTGTTTTCAAATTCATTTTCTGCAATAACCCTATTTTCTTACTAATTAATTGAAATTTAACCAATTATTATATTTAGGCAATTATTATGTATCCACCCTAAAGTTGGGTTAGAAGGCGACCCACACTTTCATCCTTATACTTTAGGATGGATATATGATAAGAAAATTTAGGGCTTAATTAGAAATATAGAAGAGTGTAAGTAAATCAATTAAGAAATTCGAAAGCTTAAGAAATCAAAACGTTTAGAGCTCAAATTCCAATGGTTAGGGTTCAGATTGAAGGAAAACAAAGAGGAGGGACCTGTGTGAAAAGGCGCAAGAGATTAGGAACCGAATTGGAATTGTGGAAAGAGCTGATTGGAAGGAATTAGAAATCAGAGGGACCAAAGTGAGAAGGTTCCACAACTTTCAATTGACCACTAACCGAAGGTTGTGGAAATATGCAAATGATCCAATTGATTAAAATCAACTACCTTTGATCATGTGTGTGTATCTATCTATCTATATATATATATATATATATATATGCATATGAGTATATTATTTAGAACACCTCGATTGATTTGGTCATTCCTCACTTAAATTTCACTAATTTCTCAGCTAAAGCTTCACAGAATGCTGAACTTATGCTCGCTAGAATTTTGCTATTTTGGGTTGGAATTCTTTTTGATCAAGCCCAAAAATCCCTTTGTCGGCCTCAGTTTTGATGTGCTTAACCATTGATTGGAAAAAATTCAGAAGTAAGCGGCTTAGATTTTGGATTTAGGATGGTTGGGTTGCTTAGGTGATGTTTAGAACAAATTGGGTCAAGGACTCAGATTTTCAGGGAAAGAAAAGGGACTCGGAAGGTATCTAGGTTCGTACTGGTTCAGCTTGGCCGGATTGAGTTCGGCCAATTCAAGCATTTAAGTTGGATTTGACCGGTTCAAATTGGTTTAACGATTTAATGTTCTAGTTTAGCTTGGTTTAGAGAGTTTCTGGTTCGATTCTGAGTGATTTTAGACTGGTTCGATATGATTTTAATGGTTTTTGGGCCTATTCAATTTGGTTTTATGATTTAATTAGCTAGACCAGTTTGATTTTAGGGTTTTAAGGCCAGTTTTGTGGCTTAAGTCCGATTATAAGAGATTTTGGTCTAGTTTAGTTTGTTTCTAGAGGGTTCTGGTCCAATTCAGTTCGCTTCTAGAGGGTTCTAGTCCAATTTAGTCCGATTCTAGAGGGTTCTGATTTGGTATAATCTAGTTCAGGAGTGCTTCTAGCTAGTTCGGACTGGTTCAAGGGTGCTTCTAGCCAATTTAGTCCAATTCAGGGATGTTTGTAGCTAGTTCAGTTTGGTTCAGGGGTGTTTGTGATCGGTTCAATCCGGTTCAAGAGTATTTGTGTCTAGTTCAGTCTAGTTCAAAGGTGTTTAAGGCCAGCTTAATCTGGTTTAGGAGTGTTTGGGGTTAGTTTAGGTTGATTCAGGGGGTTTAGGGAATTTAAGATTGGTTCACTTTAGTTTAAGGATTTTTATGCGAATTTAGTTTGTGTTCGGTTCATTTTAGGTTCGGATGTTAGATAATGAATCTCAAAGTACGTGCTAAGGTTCCGAATTGAAGTCAAGGACTAGTTTTGAGAATCGAGTCCTTAAGTGATTTAAGTTTTGGTTTTGATTCTAATATTAAATCATTGCATTATAAATATGCCTAAAGAGGCACACTACGACCTTTGAGCTCGTTCTCTGGAAATTTGGGTTTTTGTTTTCGACTTGTAGTGTAAGTGATAATACTTATTCTATGTATATGTTTTAGATGTTAGTCAATTATTTGTTATGAAGATGAGTTTTACGGGATGAATAACATATTTATTGTGATATGATTTATTGATTTGAATGTTGAAATATGGGACATGTGTTTTGGAATTATTTTGAAATGTAATGAACTGATTTTAAATATGACATACTTTGGTTTGGATTTGAAATGAATATGTATATGTTATCTGTTTGGAAAATATTTGAAATATGCCTCTATTACATGTATATTTTGAAAATCATATGTTAGGAATTATTTGGGTTTCAGTTGTATGAGTTTCAGATGAACACGATTGTGTTTTGGCACTATGTGCTCTATATATATTTTGGTTTCAGTTCTGGTTCAATACAAGATCCCAGTATGATATGTGATATATGATATCTCAAGTATGATATACTCTGCCGTTGAAATGATATTCGGTTCTAGTATCTGATACTTACAGTATGATATATTCTGTCATTGAGATGATATTTGGTTCTGGTACGTGATAACTCCAGTATGATATGCTCTACTATTGAGACGATATTCGGTTCTAGTATATAATACCTTCAGTATGATATGCTCTGCCATTGAGATAATATTTGATTCTGATATTCCAACCTGATTCTTGTGTATTATGAGGCATAAACTATGATTTATGATAATATATTTAGCTGCTCACTATTTAAATCATACATATATGGTATTGGCATGTTATACCATACATGTCTTAGTATGTTTAAAGTTTGTATTATTATTTATTGAGTTTTTTACTCACCTCTTCCTAATATTTTTCAGATCATCATGTGGACTTGCTTTTCTGATCGTTTCCTTGTACGCGTATGTGGTTTTCTACTAAGCTATTTCCGACATACAGGTTTTGTTGCCTACCGTTTTTATTTTAAAGTTGCTCAATTTTCTTTCAAACAGTATTCTTCTATTTATATGGATTTTGATACTTGTATTAGACCTAATATATTATAATGTCTATTTTGTCTAAGGTTTATTGAGACTGGTGATGCAATTTTAATACTGATCATGTATCTACTTTTAGGGCGAGACACTTTCACTTGAGAAATTTATATAGTTCTTGTAGATTTTCAGTATATTCTTTTTTGAAAACATAGAAAATGAAAACTAAATGTAGAAAATGGATAAAGCTTATTACTAGTCATTTAAATTTAAATTAAGTGTCAAATTAGTCCCTTAAATTGAAAATGTAACATTTATATTCCTTAAGTTGAATATATATTTGGATATAGTCTTTTCAACTAATTTTTAGTCATTTTTTATTTATTTAGTAAGAGTAAATTTGTCATTAAAAAAATTAGGCAAAATTTACAAGTTTTTAAATGCGCAAACAACTTCATTTCATAATTTAATAAAGATAATTTATAATTAAGAAAAATTATGTTATCCAATATCTAGGTGATTATTAGTTGGTTGTTGCTATTTTTGGTGTTTAGGTTAGGAAAAAAAAAAAGAGAATTTATTTTATGAATCTAAATATATAATCAATTTTTATTTTTTATGAATCAAACATTCAATTAATTTACAAAACTTCAAAATTAGTACTTATAAAAAATTCATTAAAAAGTCTTACCTTTTTTTATAAACCAAATTCATCTTCAAAACCTGTTACATCCTTGAAAAATTGTAAATTTTGTTTTTTTTAATGACAAATTTTTCCTTACTAAATAACTAAAATATGGTTGAAAATGGCCAAAAGGACTACAACAAAAAATATATTAAAACTTAAGGGATATAAATATTATATTTTTAATTTGAAAAACTAATATAACACTTAATTTAAAATTAAAGGACTAATAGTAAAATCTATACGCAGAAAACAAAATACAAATCTAGTTAGAGCCTTACCCAAAAAAAAAAAAAGGATGATATAAAAATAAGTTAAAATAACAAAAACAAAACAAAAGCCAAAAGAAGGAA